TTGAGATACATACTAAATTGACACAGTATAAATAATTATGGTTATAATAAAAACTATTGTATAATATTAGGGGGAAATACAAACAACCCATAAAGAAAGTGAGAAGTTAAACAATAGTTAAACGAATAAATTAAATCTACATATCCATATGCTTGTGTGTACACACCTCAGTGTAGATTATTAGTACAAGCTAAAAAGATCACTAACCCAACAATAACAAAAAAGAAAAAAAAAATAACTGAGGAAGTGAATAATATAACATCTTTTTAGTGTTAGAAAATGGTATTTTCATTGACTGGCTAACTAATTGACTACTGCTGTTTATCACCACAAGTAGAGACTTACAGAGATTTGGATTGAGAATTTTTTGAACCTGGTTTTAAATATATTCATAAATGTATAAGTGTAATAATGCAGATAAAAGAGAAACAGAATAAACTAAGAAGAAGACAATGAAATACATTCAATCATGACGTGTGTAATTATTTATTTATTTAACACATAGGTATTGGTACAAGGAGGCACCAAGTACATATGCGCCACACGAATCTCAATTGATTTGTGTGAGGGCTGTGATACTGCTCGGGTGTCCGAACCGAACCAGGTGGTTTTCTTAGGGGGCCACACCCCGAGCCTTCGACCTGAACGTCTGATCCACAAGGCAGTGGAGCATCGTAAGGAGATGCAGTCCCATGGTAGCCGGTGACCAACGATTGGTTCATACACCATTTGTTCCTTCAGGATACTGGAGACCATGTGCACCATTGGTTTGCGATCCGGTTAAAGCGCCGGACATTCGCTTTTCGTCCTCTCATTTTCGTAAACAACACCCCCGCCACGTGAAGGCAGTGAGTAGGACTTCCCTGGCAGGGGCTATGTACGCGTGGCCATGTGAGAGCATTTCGAGAGGGAGAGCGGACTCTCCCCACTCTCGGCCGTACCAGGGCATTTAATATGTTCAGTTAAATTGACTGGTTGTCTAGTATGTTATTAAATCATCCGAGCTAGATGGTTACATCATGGAAGAAGGGGTTGAAGATATTGACTAGAATGACAATAAAAACTCCACAATTTAACCGTTTAGCTTGGAGAAGTCAACATCAGTAAAATTATTCACTTGATCAACAAATTTTCTCCATAACATATATATATACACTTATAGATTGTTTAAAGATCGTCATCATATTTGAATGAAGAATATTCTTTTCAACAGATTCTCTTCCGTTTCTACAATTCATATATCCAAATTAACAAACCGAAAAATGGTCAGGTTAAGAGTAAAGTGTATCGTTTAAAGTTAAAACATGTGAATTTAGAATTGTCAAACACAAGAGAATAAAAGTTATTAATGTTGATATGATTCAAGAATGGAATCAGCTTATATGCCAAGATTGTATGAATAACTAAAAGTACACAAACCGGGGATCTCACTAAAATCAATTTTAGATATGTATAAATCTCTTTATCATGTTATAGCTAAATGGTTAGTAACTATATTGAAACCTCTTGATGAAAAACTTATAAAACATAGTATTAAAGATGTATTCCAATTTGTTCGCAAGATCAAAAATACAAAGATGATTTCTTTGGATACAACATCATTATTCACAAATGTTTCACTTATAGAGACCGTAGAATATATGTGTGAACAATTGAGTGAAAATGAAATTGAAACTATAGTTCCTACCAAATATTGTAAAACAGTTATTACTGAAATTCAACATAAATGTAAATTTCAAGTTTAACGGAGAAATCTATAGACAAACGGATGGGGTTGTAATGAATTCACCATTGGGGCTCTATACTAGCTGATATTTTTCTAGACAAACCAGAAAATGGTCCACTTGAAAAGATTATTCAAAAATTCACATTTTACTGTCGATATATAGATGATACGTTCATCCTCTGTAAAGATGTTACATCACAGCAAGAGGTTCTTAGGCAGTTTAATGAAGTACATCGAGCTATGGAGTTTACATCTGAAAAAGAGAATGGTGGTACAATAGCCTTTTTGGACGTTCTCTTAACTAAGAGGGTGAATAGATCATTAAAAAGGAATTTAAACAATCTTAAATTCACATGCTTTAACTTTAAACAATACACTTTGCCCTTAACCTAGCTGTTTTTCGGATTATTGGTTTGGATATATGAATTGTAGAACCTGAAGAGAATTCATCGAAAGAAATATTCATTGTTTAAATATTGAACATATTGATTTATTTATTAATTATAGATTTGTGTTCTTGGCTTCGAACCATACTTTAAATATGAGGTCTAGTGATATTATCCAGTTGGCCGAATCAACGTAGGTGGAGTAGAAAGTCCAAATATGCAAAATAGTGTCTGAAGGTCGAATGCCATAACTACTGGGTCACTACTACTTTACAATATACACAAAAATTGGATTTGATAATATCAGTCAGTTAGTCATTATAAAAAAAAGATTTGGGACAAGAGTGTAGAACACTTCCAATTGTCAAACCTTACATCAATACAAACACACGGAGAGGGAAGGAGTTGACTAGTTGAGAAGCAAAGTATGGCAATAAACTTCAACGAGAAATACATCTTCAAAGTAAAAATACGATCGACGATCGGAATATTAGCAATGATACTGAACTCGGAATTTTGAAGTAAAATAGAGAAAGAATGCAAACATAACAGTATGACTACGTATCAAATCATTACTGATTACGAGTAGTGCATAAGCCCAAATCAAGAAGTGTGTATGCTCAAACTGGTTCAAACAAAGAGTCAATAACTTCATAGGTGGATAAGATGTCTTGATATGATCATCTCTAAATATTTCCCAGCCTACTTATGCTACAAGTACTTAGTGGTTACATAGCCGTATCATATGTCAATTTCACTCCAAAACATCTACTGACATAATACGACTACTACTCTTACAGACAACTGGCAAGAAGCAATAGAAATCTACACAGCAATTTTTAATTCACTGAAGATAATGACCATAGTCAGATGAAGACTGAAAACGAAATGTACCGAGGTGAAATTTAATGAATCCAATAAATTTCACAAGAATAGTGAAATTTCACTATAAGTGTCATCAAATAACATTTAGATTGTGTTAGAGAAAGACAATCCATATTCAGAACATTTTGAAGATGTGTTCATAATAGTTAAAATGATGATATAGGAATGATTAAGAACGATGAGATAAAAAGACTTAGTTGAGTTGGCTTGGAATGATGAAAATAAAAGAAAATATTACAATAAATGGATGTATTCAATATTCATGAATGAAAATCGAAGTTTGAATCAAAATGAAATTTTCTGTTGAATGTTGGCGCTTAAAAGAACAATATCCATAGAAACTGATGATTGATTATATATTTGACTGGATAATATGATGTGTGGTCAGATAATGGAATATACTTAACGTCTTCAGTGCATTTCATCAGTTAATGATGTAATGAAAAGTATGAGTAATAAATATAAACACAAAGAATACTTTCATTCCTTATGTAAAGTACATATTAGTAAGGTTAAGTGAGAGAAAAAAATCAGTGGAAAAAAAACCCGACAGTCCAACAGTACTACCGCCGACAACTAACGCTGAGGATAAATAATACTATGAATGAACTTAGTGTGTGTGAAATTCACATCCATACACACACACACACATCAACACATACGCACAAAAGTAAATAGCTTGAAAGAGATTACCTTGATTAAAATCAGCTTTTATATAATGAATAAGGCGAATATGCAAATCAGAATAAACGAAATAAACAGTTATACAATTTAATGGAAAGGAGCTAAATCGACAGATTTCAAACACCTTTTGACTAAACACGGTAGTAGTATTATTGACTGAGGAGGGGACATAATTGATAAGCTACTCTACTACAATGAGACATGGAGTGTGCCAGAAACAACCATTAAAAAGAAGAAATGGAAATTTTCTTCAGCATGTAATTTAAGAAATAATCATCAGCGATAAATTGATACGGAAAACCGATTGTTTAAACAAGCAATGAGCATAGTTAAAAGCCTGTTAGTAGGGTGTATATTAAATTTTTACAAAGTAGCAGCCAAGTGACAATAAAGTAACAGGATTAACATCAAACTAAACCAAAGGCAAATACATAAAACTTTTTCAGTAGACCATTCATGATTCAATAAAACAGATATAATATATATTTTTTATCGAGTTATATAGACAATAAAGTAGTATGTTACTATTTGGATGTCTGCCCCCAAATGCACTGGTACGACCGAGAGTGAGGAGAGTCAACTCTCCCTCTCGAAATACTCTCATATGGTCACGTGCATACAACCACTGACAAGGAAGTTCTGTTCACTACCTTCTCGCAACACGGGTGTTGTTTACGAAATTGAGAGGACGAAAACCAAATGTCCAGAGCTTGAACCGGGTTGGTGGAGATGGAGAGTCCACCTAGGGAAGTTGGAAAACCATCATTTCAAACCAATAGTGCATATGGGATCCAGGATCTTGAAGGAACAAATCGAGTATGAACCAATCAGTGATCACCGACTACAATGGGACTACATCTCCTAACGTTGCTCGAATGCCTTGTGGATCAGACCTTTAGGTCGACAGCTTTGGATGTGACCACTTAAGAAAACCACCTATTTTAGTTTATGCACCCGAGTAGTATCACAGCCCATACACATATCAAGTTCACTATGTGGCACATATCTATTTGGTGCCACCTTCTACCAATGTTTATATGTTTAAATTATACCTTGAACATCAAATTACAACTTATAGTTCTTAAAAAATCATTCGAGTAAAATAACACGATTCAATGATTCAAGTCAATATAAATGGAATTCAAGCGTAATTAACCTAAATAATCGAATAAATATTACTAGAAATCAGTCATTGGAATATAACAAAAAAGTCATTGTAAACAAAGTATTAAATGATGATGTAATCATTGAGATGTTATTTAATAGGAAATGCCAAAAATACAAAGAATTAATATTACATAACAATCGAAATATTATACCTCGGTAAGATGTATTTGGTAAAGATTGTGGTAGTACATTGTCTAATGGATGTAATGCTTTTAAAGGACCTGAGCTTGTACATGATATTGAATTGTTAAACAATAGACCTCCACTAATTGAGGAATATGAATCTATATTGGAAGTAGTAGTAGTAGTAGTAGTAGCAGCAGCAGCGGCCAATCGAGCTTTATGCATTTTAAGTCGACGTGTTGTTGGCATAGTAGAATATTGTTTATCAACATCTAAATAATAATTATTATAATAAAAAGTTAGAAAATGGTGAATAAAATGATCATTATCAAAAGTATTATTTTGAGTAGATGAATATATGCAGCAAAAAAAAACATGACTGTCTGTGGAATATACCTTTCCTTCATCTGAATCTGGTCTTCTCCCTCTACTTAACAGGGCATGGGGCGTATTGGAATACTTTAGTTTGTCTTGCCGTTCGGTTCAGAGATTTGGGTGTTTTCGTAATCCCTTCAAACATAGTATGTGACTAGCAACTGAGTCCAGGACACGGTGCTTTGTTCTAATTAAGACTCCACAGTATCATCTACATAGCCTGGCACAAATATCATTAGTTCACAATACCATACATAATCAACACATAGATATAAAAACAACAAAAGGGATTGAAATAATGTAATATCAATGATACAAAGGAACACCAAACATTTGGAATATAATTCGAATAGATAGGGTGGAATAGTATGTATGAAGGAATACTGGGATTCAACATCGACGTAATTGTCGCGTGAACGTCAATACGATTACATGCATCGAAAATCATGGCTCAGACTAATTAATAAATGACTTCACAAACTGATGCCATGTTTGAGTTTGGCCTCCTTTACCTCTATTCAAACCTACTTCCGTACTTGCAAGGATCTCTTGTAGAGGTAAGAGGTAATTAAGTATATGTAATAAATGTCTCTACCATATCCATCATAACAGAATAGATCTATGAATTCATAAAATGTCTATACAACCGACCTTCCTACTTTGGAATTTAGCATAAACAACACTAAAGTGAGTTACATATAATAAGTTACCCTTTCCCTTTTGCTTTATCGATAAAATTCGCATATATTTAATTGATCTTTTGCTCACACATAATTATTAGACTATATACGTTTCGTTATTACGTAACCATGACTAACATTTTATTGAAAATATTGTCAATGCACGTACTACACATGATGGAATCTGACAATTTTTATAACAAAATGGTTTAATTAATTCGTTATTGATTTAATTACTTTATTATTCATTCGTCATGTTTTTCATGAACACCTCTAAGCTTATAGTGGTGTTATCTAACACAACAACCATTTGAATGGCATAGATATTGTTTTCAGTATGGGGTTAAGAAGATTGTTGAATTTTATCGAGATCATAAACTGATCAATGATAGACCAGCATTAAAAAATTGGAAGCACAGGACAGTCATTTTTCTTAGAATGTGACTACTCAGCAGCGCGCATCCACTGTCTTGTATGTGGGAATCGGACCGAAGACCGTCGGTCAGGCCCGCAAAAAACACATTATCTCTAGACTACTAAGTCAGTATACAAATGTTGTTTTCTAACTTCGATCAATCCATGACATTGAGTGACCATCTTTTATTGACTTCGGTAAGTGTTTCATGCTCGACACGGTTTTAGCTCCACTGACCAATAAACTAGCTTCGAGAGGAAATTGTCGGAGTTCTACTGAGAAACCGCGACTATTGGAGCCAAATCATGTCGAGTGTGAGGCAGTTACTCACCAAAGATAATGGAAAATGGTTGCTCAATATCATGGATTAACTGAAGTTAAAAAATAACACCGTTGAGTTCCAGCTCAGTGCTCTAAACCTGGACTCGATTCCCACATACGGGATCATGGATACACACTGCCTTCAAGTTCCAAACTAAAAAAGTAATGCATTGCTTGCAAGTTATTAATGGTAGTCTAATATTGATCGGTTCATGATTTCAATGAAACTTATTATTACTGTTATATATATATATATATATATATATATATATATATATATATATATATATCAGTGAAGAGACATGATAAAAAAACTGACTGAAAAAGAAATCCATTGGATACTCGACTTTACTAAGTTTAGAGTTTGAAACATGCTTCAAATAAATACTCAACATTTTACCGTTTACTCCAATCTTCCCATTGATGTGATTCCTGTGTGTATTGCCTCGATATTGCCCTAGTTCACAAGCATTCTAAGCAAAGACGGATAGTGACTAGGAGTGAAATCCAAGACGTGGGTTTCATTCTATTTGGAACTCGTCAGCTGGATGTACCTGCATTTCAGGGTTGACGTTCACTTCGGGACTCGAACCCGGAACCGTTCGTTTCAAATACCATTGCGTTATCCACTTAGCTACTGAGTCCTCATAGCCACTTGCTTATGCAATGGGGTGAAGTTTAAACTCACTTGGTACATCTAGCTGACGAGTCCCAAGTAGGTCGAAACATGCGTCCTGGATTCTACCGCTAGCCACTATCTATCCTTGCTTATTTTACCATTTAGTTATTTTTACGAGTAAAGATGAGTAGATTGTACGATAATCTGACACAAGTAGTCCCCCCCTCCCAAGAATTGAATTCACTATGATCTGTTATGATCTAGAGAGTCAACTAAATCTCAAGTGAGATAATGGTTCACCGATAAAAGTCGATAAAGATTAAGTTATGTTAGTTGAAATTGAAGCCGTAATCCCCAATCAAATGATCTAAATGTATATTGTTCATCACGAGTTCTGAATGTTCTAAGTCCGACTACTAGCAGAATGTATGAAGTGTATTACTGAAGAATCGTAAAATAAAGCGAAGCATTTGCCGAATATTGACTAGTGTTTAAATATTGTATCTCTGAAGTTAGTCAGTTCAAGTTAAAAACAATCTTTAAAACTTATACTAATTAGTGAAATATTAAGCAAACTAAAATTACCTTCTGGCATTTTATAACGATTAGGAAGAATATTTGTTTGAAAAAATGAATATTGTAAAGCATCCACATGTCCATGACGTTTTTCTGAAACACTACGACGTCCAAATCCATCACGTAAAAAATTTCTATTAGATGGTACTGATAAATTTCTTGATGTGGAATAATTTACTTTTAATGATGATTCTGTTGATAATAGATGATTATCTTCATAAATATCTGATTTTTGACTAGATAAATGTGAATGAGAATCTCCATGATAATCATAATGCAATATATGTGATCCAATTTCAGATGATATTGAATCAGATCTATGTAACAGACGTCGACGATTATCATTTAATGTAAATGATAATGAACAAGTATCTTGTGAATCAGATGGGCTATTCAATTTACTATGTTCATGGTGACCAGAATGACCCTTTTCTAATGCTTCACCACGTGTTGTTTTAATATGTCTACAACTAAGATAAGAAGAGACCTGATAGTTTTTTATATACAATGTTGTGATCATTCATTAGTGTCTTTTGTGGAAAATACCTGAATAAATAACTGAACTATACAAAAGTTTTAATTTTCATTACGATCGTAATAAATATGGAGCAGAATCAGTTTACATTAATATTGATATTACTGTCAATCTATTGACGATGTGTTGATTGGAACTGTAACAGTTCATGGTGATGTATATCTCGGTACCAAATCCTATGCAGTTCATAACTAACTACAACAATGAATCTATGCTCAATAGAATATAAAAACCACCCGTTAAATCAACTTTATTTAAAAAGCATTCAACACATAGATCATCCAGCCCAGTGCTATAAATATGAATGTATATTTGTTATCTAAAGCCAATACATTACAAAAGTTATTTCAATATAGATTTCCATCAGCGAGAGAGTTGTATGAGACTAAAACCAAAAAACAATTACACTCTACTAATTTAGAGCTCTCAAAACATAAATAAGTTAATAATAGATTGAAATTAGATGGTTAAAATTGTTTGTTCTGGTTAGTGTTTATAGCAAGATTGTTTTCTGCAAGATAGGGTTGCTGACCCCGTGCCCAATCCTCTTCTTTTACTCAGGCTTGGGATCAGCAGTAACCCTAAAAGAGCTACAGGACAGAGTTCGATGGCTAATCCTGGTGAGCAGCCTATGCTCCTCTACGAGGGGTAACAGGCGTAAGTAATATTGAAATTATAGAGAAAATTTATAGCACGGGTTGTGTTGTATTCTCTTAGCTGAATGGTTTGATCAGAAAACTTTCGTTGTCATTCTGAACAATACCAGTAGAGATATTTAGTCATTCCACAAGTGTTAAGTTAATCTGTTCTGATGATCAAGTCTATGAATGATTGTCTTCAACGTTTTAATCAGTTTCAACTATCATTTTGTTCCAGTTGAATGTGTTCGCTTGACTAAATTCTAACGAAGTAAATTGACGTTGGCTTTTTTCTGCATAGATCGGTTAATCAAATATATATTGACCTGTTTAATAGTTGACCTGAATATCATCATACCAGAATAATCTCGGACTATAATTTTCATGTTTTCCTACTTATATTGATATACGTGGTTGTCTATGTGCATTGATAGGTTACCATACCATTTCACTACTGCTTTTTGTTGGTTTATGTGTATAGAGAGACAAGATGTTCAAGATGATGTTTATACTAGTAGGTACAATGTATTTTGTAAATGATATTTCACGTTTACCATCGATGTTTTGTTTTTCAGTCTACATAAAATGAAATAAAGTGATTCGGTAGACTTATGAGGGATCTTGATTCCGAACCACTTTAAAATCCTTGTGCTAATATCTAGGATGCATTTCATATATGTGAGCAAAGAGGACTGGAAAGTTATATTATCCTATTGTAACAGTCCTTTTCAGTTAGTGAGTGGCAGGTCGTGGAATAAACACTGAAAAATAATAAAAGCTTCGTAATATGATAAAGTATTTTGTAGACAGTTTATTCATTGTACTTGATAGCAATAATCTTCAACCGTTAGGCTTGTATTTCACTGAAGGCAACATGAGATGGAATAATTTGAGTGGAAAAATGTAATTCGTCCACTAAGTTATCTACTGAGTTTTGAGTCATATATAAAGATTGTTGACACTATGCCTTGTTACGATACATAGTAAATTCCAGGTGGGAGGTTCGAACATTCAATCTGACGATTGAGAACTAAGTGTATGAATAACTAAGCCACCGTTGATTATGAGAACCATTTACACACATTAATCGATAACAGAACAAGTAACAGTAACACAAGATTGATAGCCTGAATAATGATTTAAAGAATGGGTTTGGATGTATTAGAGGTTAAGTTATTAGACCATCAAGCTGGACTGAACATTATCACAATAGTAAATCTCTATTCTATAAACCACGATACTTTATTGCTTGCATTGTATAAAATATCGCGTTATTGGATACTAACCTCAAAGCAAAATGGATGGTAATATTCAATCACTTAATAAAACTTGATTGATAGGTTACGATGAACGATAAAAACGTATTTACTGATCGTATCTAAACCAAAGTCTCAATGTGACGAGTAAATTAAATATTTTGACAAAACTACCAAGTTTGTTTACATACACAAATATATACAAATCATTTTACCTTGGTGGATGTGCAGAAGATGGTTTCAATGTATCTCCAACACTTGATCGACGATCATTTTGATTTTTATATCGATGAACAGTGAGAGTGAATGAGGCTGATGATTGTCCAGAGCTGCTAATATTTCGCTCATGACATTGTTTGATAACATTTTTCAACTTATTTACAATAGTCTAAAGTAAAACAAATACCCCAAATAAAGTAAATGAATGAATAGCAGGTAGTATTATAAAAATAAGCATTGAAGAATAGATATGTAGTTTTTCATCACAAATTAAACAATATACTGGAAACTTGTACGTCAGGAGGAGTTTTTTTCAAAACTCGAACACTATAGTTTCACCTGAAGTTTGTGCTAATGATGTTGTTCAGAAGAACAATAAAAGCTTCACGACCAAACCATCCAGCTCAGAGAACACAAAACACCACCTAAACAATAATGCGTTTTAGTCGACAAATGGTTAAAAAAAAAACATTAGTAAGAATTTTGTAAAGCACTCAACATCTGAGATCATTAGCTCAATGGATAATCCTTTAGGAATTTAAAACAAAAGGTACTAGGTTTGAATCAAGATGTGAACATCAACATTGAGATATAGTGTGACATTCAGCTGACGTATCCTAAACTCAGTCAGTCAGTCAGTCAGTAACAACGTGGAACTTCGTACGTATGTACATCAGTTCGAGTTGCCATACCACATTAGCACAGAGATTCAGTTATCGATTCAAATCCCATAGTGGTAGAGGTACTGAAAGTATAAGTAGAGATAGGGAACATTAAGGTTTGATGATTAAAGGAGTATAGTCCAGTGGAATAAATTGGGAAAGAAAATAAAGGACATGAAGAATTCAGAAGATTAGAGTTTGAGAGAACACAAAGAGTGGATGCACCTGCGCCATTGCAAACGATTTTCAGCCATGTCATTCAGTATCTCTAACCAACGGTTGCTATCATCTCGCGGTCCCCAATCAGATAGTCTACACCTACCAACATGACTCAGTCCACTTGTCAGTGACTTCATGGATTTGTTCCATGTTTTGGTCTGGCCGCCCCTAGCTTTTTCCAACCTACTCCTACACCATAAAACATAGCACGTCGGGGCAGTCGGTGGTCGGGCATGCGCAACACATGTCCCAGCCATCTCAAATGATTGAGTTTCACTACTTCCTCAATTGATTTGCCATCCTTACCTAGTACCCGTTTCATAACAACTGCATTACTTACTCGGTGGTCCCAGGATATACGAGCAATGCTTCGAAGACATCTATGGTCAAATACTAGTAACCTACGAATATCCTCTACTCTTACCGGCCATGTTTCACTGCCATAAAGTAGGACGGAACGAACTGCTGCGCAGTAAACACGTCCTTTGGTTGATAGACGGATATCTCGCCTACGCCACAAATGACGCAAGTTGGCAAAAGCTAGTCGAGCTTTTTGTATCCGTGCTGAGATTTCGTTACACCAAACCACAAGGGCTGATGAGAATTCCGAGATAAGTGAAGCGCTCGACACGCTCAACTACTTCACTCCCTATCACTAGTTCGGGTGTCGACGCAACCCAATCCTGAAGTAACATTTTGCATTTCGAGGGAGAGAATCGCATGCCGAACAGGCTTGCATTGTTGCTTAGAGTGGTCAGCAGACTCTGCATTCTGTCAGCGTCTTCACTAAATAGAACTATGTCATCGGCATATTCTAAGTCAACAAGTGGATCTCCCGGTAGAAGTTCAACTCCTGGAAATTTAGATGAGGAAAGTGTCATCTTTAAAAGTACGTCAACGACAAAGTTAAACAAGAATGGAGAGAGTGGACAGCCCTGACGAACACCACTTGAGGTAATCAATTCTGATGACAGTTCACCATAAGCTCTCACTCGACCAGTTGTGTTCGAGTAGAGAGCCTTTATAAGGTTGACGTACTTCTTTGGTACTCCTTTCAGTGACAAACATTGCCATAGAACCTCACGATCAACAGAGTCAAATGCCGCCTTAAGGTCGAGAAATACTACCATTGCTGGACGTCTGAATGTGTGTCTATATTCTAGGACCTGACGTAATGTGAATATTTGATCAATACAACCACGTCCAGGTCGAAAACCAGCCTGGTTTTCTCTAGTCTGCTCTTCACGAGCTTTGGTTAGACGTCGAAGTATTATTGAAGCTAATATTTTAGACACTATATTAGTCAAACTAATTCCTCTGTGATTGTCACAGGAGGACTTTTGTCCTTTCTTATAGACTGGTACAATCAGTGATTGAGACCAGTCAGATGGGATTACGTCCAGTTCCCAGATTCTACCTAAGACCTCAGTCAATCTCGCTGCTAATACTGGACCACCATCCTTAAAAATCTCAGGGGTAAACCTGTCAGGGCCTGCTGCTCTCCCACGCTTCAGATTTCCTATAGCTTTTTCAACTTCGTAAAGAGTCGGAGGACTTACATCAACTTGCCATTCAGGTCGACTGGGGATCGTGGGAAACCGAAGTGTGGCTGAAGGCCAGTTGAACTGATCCCTAAAGTATTCTGCCCATCGATCCAATCTCCTGGATTGAGAATGAATAATATGTCCATCTTTCTCTGCGATTGTTTCGCTAACAGTTAGGTTCCTAATACCGGTTTCCTTAACAAGTCTGAACAGTTGCCTGCTGTTACCTATTGCCGCTGCCTTTTCCATCTCTCTTGCTTTCGCTACCCACCACTGTTCACGATCTTTGCGTAGGCTTCTAGTCAGCTTACGCTTAAGCTGACTCCGCTCTTCGTTATGTTCAGAGCCAGATGGAATGAGTTTTCGAGCATCTATCAGTGCGGTAGATGCTGCTGAGATCCAGTGTTTCTCCCTAACCTTATGGTTTACCGTACTTGCAGACATCACTGCTGTTTTTACAGCTTTTCGGATGTCATTCCATGCTGCCTCGGGGTGGGTATCACTTACATGGCTGCCTAACTGTTTTTCTAGATGTTCCTGAAATATACTCTTAGCTTGACTATCATTAAGTAGGACCCTAAGGGGTTTCCTTGCAGCATGTTTCCTACGTCCAGTAAGACGTAGACAAATACGCGCTCGCACTAGAGCATGATCTGAGTCTAAGCATGTGCTCCAGAATGAGCGACAGTCTTCTATCGAGCCCCTCCATCGGTGGCTGATAGCGATGTGATCTATTTGGGTCCAGCGTTGAGACGAATTAGGGGGTCGCCATGTTAAAAGATGTTTTTCCTTATGCTTAAAGTTAGTGTTTGCAAGAAACAGGCGGTTATCTGAACATAGCTGCAACAGACGGTCGCCGTTGTCTGTTCTTTGAGCCGCGACACCATAAGATCCACCCAGGTGTCTTTCCTTTTCGCTTAGTTTACCTACTTGAGCATTAAAGTCACCAGCCACTATTACTAAATCTGAACGCCTAGCCTTACGAAGAAGGTCGGAAAGCTTTCTGTAAAACTCATCTTTTACATCATCTGAGCTGCAGTCAGTGGGAGAGTAGGCAGAGACGACGAAGAGGCAACGACGAGTGTCCCTATCTTTTCGAGTCCTTACTGTTCCGTTTAGTCGGACAGCACACAAACGACTGTTTACTGGGATCCAGTCTAAGAGAGATAGTTCTGCCCTAGGACTCAATGCGATACCTACGCCAGCGAGGCCACGGGATGCAGCATCAGGGCTTCCAGATACACGAAGCGTAAATCGAGTTGGTTCGTTACTTTGACATGGTGCGGTCAAATGAATGACACTACTAGGATCCTGTGTGCGCGTTTCGGAGTCGCAGAACACATCGATGGAGCGAGATTCTAAAGTCTTAGCTAAGGAAGCCTGTTGTCCTATTTGGCACAGTGTTCGGACGTTGAAGGCTCCTACGTGTAGTTTGAGGCGTGGTTTCAGGAGACCAGGAATAACATTCCGCGTACTCGAATCGTTCGCACTAGCGGGGAGAGGTGATAAAGGGACGTGAGAAGGGTTAGTCGTGGAGATAAGAGAGTTATTAGGAGGTGTAGGAAGGATTTGAATGTGACCAACTTGGTCTCGTGTGCTGTTACGGGTATGAGGGCTGATATCACTTCCCGGCTGCCCACACCGTGGAAGGGTATTTCTTGGGGGGACCTGAAAAGGAAATCAGATTAGTGTTGGTCTTAGCGACCTGATTGCGTGACCGCAGAGCCCAAGGGACAACTGCTTGAGGCCGGTCGCGCACGGCCTTTTTGTGGGAAGTTTTCAATGTGTTAGCTCCGTTCTTCAAAGGGCCTTACCGCCGGAGACGGAAACCCGTGGGGTAAGGTGAGGTGTGACATTTTTAGGGTCAACCTTTTCTAACCCTCTCCTTCCTTGTGAGAAGACAGCATCGCTGCAGATGCTGGTTATCCGAGGGAAACTCTTTACTGCTGTCACACCTCTGTACAGTCAGCAGTACGACTTCGCCCTCAGACCTTGAGTTGCTGCTTTTAGTCTTACCGTTCTCCAATCGACCTGCCTGGCATGGTAGAACCTGCAGGAACTTGAGTTCCAGCCAATATAGCTCGGTTGGGTCATCACGATAGGCAAGCCCGACCACCACGTCAAGGTAGCAGCTAAACTGGACGAAATACATGTCCTTGATCCCACTACTAACTATATACCATTTATATGAAAATATCAAAAATTAGGTAAGTAGTAACTTTGTCAATAACGAATAATTCATATGATGACATATAAAGTTGATATTTAAAAAGAAGAAATGGGTAGGTTACACCATAAATTGACATTTTTAGATAATAGATATAATAACAATCAATTGAATAGAACAGCATGTGTTTATTTGAGCTCTTCAGGTACTCATCAGCTGTTTAAAATCTGAAGTATTTATGAATTATCTTGAAAATAAGTAGCAAAAATAAGAATTTGATAATATAATAGAATACACTGAATTATACATTTATGTTGCAAATAGTAGGCAACCCGATTGTTAGAATTTTCATCACGAGACTACATCATTACATCTAGTTTACTTAATGGAATACGAAAACATCTATAAGTTCCATGTGCTTAGCATTGCTATAGAACATTCAATTTATTTAAACAATACATGAACTTTAATAAATTTTTGGTTGAGATCATAAATCGATCAATGTTAGATCATTGTTGAAAACCTGGAAGCACTGGACGGTCTTTTCGTCCTAGTATGGGACTCCTCAGTAGTGTGTGGATTGACTGAAGTTGGGCATTAATACCGTTGTAGCTGGCTCATTGGTCTAAAGGTTAAGTATTCGCGCGTAAAACCCGATGTTCTGGGTTCGAATCCCGTGTGCGGAATCGAAGGCGTACACTACTCACGAATTCCACAGTAATACAAAATGGCTGTCTAGTGCTTCCAGGTTTTCAATGGTGGTCTAACATTGATCAATTCATGATTTCAATCAAGAAGGAAAGATTGATGAATGTTGAAAAGTGACTAAAAAACAAATGCTATCCAAAAAAAATCATTGAAAAATAACACACAACACGTCGAATCTAGTTACAGTTAACAAGAAATCAACCTTCATCCATTTCAATTTAAAGGGTGATAATGTTTCAGCAATAGCCGATAGGATTTTGAACGACTCAATGACCAGAACCTTCTCTGGAACTAAACTACTAACCCTGTATCAAACAACATATTCAATAATAAAAGAGTCGATGAGTATCTTTTTTATGTTGCTCTCAAATTAATTTATAAATTTACATGTATCAGCAACGGCAGCTACACACTAGTCGAACATGTTTCACAAAGCAACCAACACCAAAAATGAAAAAGTTCTTTGAATGGTTTAATCTTTAATGATCACTTGGATACAGAACACTAAGTTGATACCTTAAAATCTTCCAGTGTGATTAATAAACAATTGAATATCAATCCTTTCAAACTTACTAAAGCTATTTCTATCGCGTATCCTAAATCTGATTTCTATAATCAAAAAGGAATGGTTGATATGTTTATCATTGTCTTGATAATATGGAATTTATTTCATTTGATTGATTACATAATTATATCACTTTATCAACTCTGTTCTAGTTCAATAAATCTATGTTTTTATCAGAAGGAGTTTTGTAGAGAATTGGTTGAAATCATGAGTCAATTGAAGCTAGATTTTCTATGGTGGTCTAACTTTAATTGACTCATGATTTCAACTATTGAAATCTATTTTTATTTAACTAACTGATAATTACACATTCTATGCTTATGTTATCATAAACACTAGTTTGTTACGTAATCATTTAGTTATAGCCTTTTGGAATTATCTTGAATACAATTTTATTTTCCCATTTGTCAATCTGAGTAAATCATTGAAATTACTAAAATCTTCACAAAACCCCTTCTGATATTAATCAACATATGCTCACTAGTGACTGGCTTCAAGATGTATATCCTGAAGTTCTAGTGAAAATTAGTGACCAGTGGAGTTCAACCGGGTCTGTTGTGAGATAATAACTCACTGAAGACATTGGTGGATGTGTCGCTCAATTTCGTGGATTAGTTGAAGTTAGACATTAACACCATTAGATGCGGACTCAGTGGTCTAGTGGTTAAGTACTCGCGCGCGAAACCAGTAGGTCCTGGGTTCGAATCTCGCAAGGGGCGAGGTTGTGGGTGCGCATTGCCGAGGAGCCCCACAACAGGACGAAACGGCCGTCCAGTGATTCTAGATTTCCTATGATCTTAACGATTGAAATTACTATAATCTACACAAAACCCCTTCTGATATTAAAATTATTATTCTAGCTTTAGTCGATTTCATCTGTTTAAGTATCTTCGACTCATTTTGTAATTATGATTTTCTCTTCACAATGATGTTTGTTCAAAGATAGGAAAGTATCAAGAAATGAATTTACAAATGTAAACCAATGGATGTTGTTAATTTATTGGTCAAAGCGTAAAATACTCGCTGTAAAGTCTGAGAATTCTATGTTTCGTTCCTGGTGCAGTCTTGAATGCATATGGTTAAGGAGTTCTTATATATTAAAATGAAACAGCTGATCGATATAGCTGAGTTTTTTCAACGAGTATCTGGTTAAACTCAATTCATGAAGTAAAATATATTCAAACTGACCAAACTCCTAAAAACCCTGTAAGCTCATAATAAAGATCGAGTATGGATTATCTAACATCTACAGTCAGTCAGTTAAAACGTAGAACCAGGCATACATGTGCGTCAGTCAAAGTTGCCACACCTCATTGGCACAGAAAGATGAACACCGAACTCATAAAAGCAATCAACTCAATGGTGGTAATATATAAAGGAAAGATTGCATATAAGGAGATAGTACAGGAAGAAAGAATTAGTTCGTAAAAAGAAATAATTTTACTCTCATAGTTTAAGGGAAGACAGAGAGTGTATACACAGACGATATTGTGATCGATTCTGAGCCATGTCACCAAGAGTCTCCAACCATTCGTTACGATAGTCACGCGGATCCCAATCAAGTAGTCTGCATCTACCAACATGGCTCAGACCAGAAGTTAGTGACTTCAAGCACTGATGCCACGTTTTGGTTTGGTCGCACCTAACTTTCTTCCAACCATCCCCAACACCAGTTAGCATTGCGCGTCGTGGTAATCGGTGTTCAGACATACGCAACACGTGGCCCAACCATCTCAGTCGATGAAGATTTACAACCTCATCAACTGATTTACCATCGTTACCTAATACCCTGCGTCTAACATCTACAGACTCAAAATGATTTCTGAGTACATGAAAGATGACATTTTTTTATCTGATTGCAAATATACAGGCTTTTATCAACTCGCATGTTCCTAAATCATGTACTTTGAACACTTTAAATACTATTATTTATTTACTTTAAAACATAAACATTGGTACAAGGAGGCACTAAATATATATATGCACCACACAAATCATTCGAATACTGCCCGGATACCCAAACCGAAGCAGGTGGTTTTCTTAGGGGACCAAACCCGAAGCCTTCGACCTAATGGTCTGGTCCACAAGGCATTCGAGCAACGTCAGATGTAGCCTCATGGTAGTCGGTGACCAACAATAGGTTCATACTCCATTTGTTTCTTCAGGATCCTAGAGTCCATGTGCACCATAGGTTTGGAATGAAAGTTTTCCAACTCCCCTAGGTGGACCTTCCGTTTTCACCAACCCCGTTAAGGCGCCTGACATTCGCTTTTCCTCATCTCAATTTCGTAAAGAACACTTGGAAATAAAAGAAAATAATCGCAGCTAATGTTCGCTTTCAACAGATACATACAACAGCATGACTCAGAATACGTACATACTGATCAAATGAAAGAGAACATGAATTCGATTTCAATCCAATTATAGATTTCTTGAATCTTCTGAAATCCCAGAAGTTTTAATTATTGGATAAAATGAAGTCTAGCCTCTGTATATGCTCGTCTTAATACTTCATAATTATTAACAGTTGTAACATAATTGATGGAATAAATGCTTCATATTATAATGAATCTATCATAGTTCCAAACACTTGTCTGATATCTTCAAGTAAGGGAAGAAGTCAAATCTTAATCAATAATTTCGAAGTCACTATTACATTATGACGTGACATGTTCTGTGAATTGCAAAGAAAATCAATTAATTTGTAATGACAATTCACCAATATATGAATCACAATAAATATTATCATTCATTTTAGCTTACTTTAGCATTCATTCCATCTACAGATTCTTCATTAATTGCAACAAGACGATCGCCAGTTTTTACAGTCACATGATTATTTGAAGTAACAAGAGTATCAGGTAGAAGACTATCGATATATAAACCTGGTATAGGAGAATACTGAGATGGAGAAGCTGGTCTTGTAGTTACTGACTGTGCTGATGAGGGGGATGAAGATGATAATGGTGATATTAAAATATCATTAGACCATTTGAAATTGATTCCTAATACTGGAGGTCCTTTTATAGTATCTGATTGATTAGTAGTAGTATCCAATGGAAGATGATATTCAAAGGTACAAGTCATAAATGGCTAAACATAAATAAAAAGGAGTGAATAAGAACAACCGAAACTGACTCACAAAGTACAATTATTTATAAGATTTGCTCTAAGTAACATATTTATTATGTAAGAGCTAATGTAATTCTACCCAGTTACCAAAACCAAATTAGGCAAAGCAAGATTTTAATCTGAAACTTGTTGATTGAAAGTCAAGGTTTTTAACCAATTAAGTCATCAATGTACTATTGTATGTTAGATAAATCCAACTGTCAAAAAGAAGATGCATAACTCAACAATTCAAGTTTAACCAATGATTATATCAACGTCACATTCTGGATTTAGCAGAAAAGTAGCCTGGTGATGCCTACATTAGAACATGACCTCATTCATGATCTTATATAGGTCCATGACTTTTCCAAGTGATTGATGAATTGGGTCGATTTTGATGTGTTTATCGATCGTCAATGTAGAAATACTTTGGTCTTCTGTGTATTTTCTTCATCCAAAATCTCAACATTTTCCCAGTTGAACATGTGTCCACGTGGCATTGATATAAATGTAGACATATTATAGTGTTTGACAGCTAGTTAGTGTTTATGTAAACAAAGATAAAGAAGATGCCTACTTATCTGATGTAGTGTTTCTCGCAGTTGGAACAGTTTATTTTATAGATGTTCATCATCAACATAAAAATAACATCAAAAAACTCCATGGTTAAACTATCCAACTCAGAGAACAAAACCATGTACCCCCTTAACTACACATCTTCATCTACTCAAAGTTCTATATCTATTACTGAATGATTAACTGTAGGAAGTTCATTACCAAGCAAAAGAAACAAACATTCCATTATCCATAAATAAAAATTAACAACATTTCATTAGACTGGACCTTAACAATTAAGGTGACTAAAAAAACAGAACATCCATAATTTGAAATCAATATCAATAAGCATGATAAAATTATCAGTTATCATTATTAAATCCATAAAGATGAAATGATTATTCTCAAACTTCTTTGATAAATAGTATACCCTTTTTCTGTTTTCTTTACACAATCACATTTCTTTTCTCTTTCGTTATCATTCTCTTAACACAATCAGTTAGTATACAAACAAGCACTCACGCACACGCACACGCACACGCACACGCATACACACATACGCATACACACACACACATACAAACATATACACAGATCAGAGTATATAGGAACCAGAAAAAAGGGTTCAATTCAATGTTGTATATCAACATTTGACAGTTTAATTAGAAATGTGTACAGAAGATTTCTTTCGTCTTCTTATTCTTCTTCAAAATACCAGTGATAATTATCAATCAACTACATGGATCATTGATAAGAAGAAAAATTCTCACATTAATTTTTATCATAAAAATGACCAAAAATAAATAAACAAACCAACCAACAAACAAACACAAGCAAGCCTGCATAAGAGATGAATTAAATGAGTAAGGTAATTGTAATTTGGTGTATGATGTTTACCAGTTCACAGTGAGAAAAAAACAAACAATGATCGGATGAGATAGATAATGGCTAAAATTGGAATCGAAAACGTGTATTTCGTCCTATTTTGGGACTCGTCAGCTGAATGTACCTGTATCCACAAGTTGTTATCCAACCTTGAACTCGAACCCAAGTATAACTAACATGATTTTAATGTAACTGGATCAGTCAGTCAGCTGCAACGTAGGACCAGGCACGTATATGCATCGGTCCAAGTTGCCATACCGCATTAGCACAACAAGATGAACACCGGATTCATAGAAGTAGTTAATTCAGTGGTGGTAATATATAGAAGAAAGATTGCATATAAGGATAAAGTACAGGAAGAAAGAATTAGTTCGTAAAAAGAAATAATTTTACTCTCATAGTTTAAGGGAAGACAGAGAGTGTATACACAGACGATATTGTGATCGATTCTGAGCCATGTCACCAAGAGTCTCCAACCATTCGTTACGATAGTCACGCGGATCCCAATCAAGTAGTCTGCATCTACCAACATGGCTCAGACCAGAAGTTAGTGACTTCAAGCACTGATGCCACGTTTTGGTTTGGCCGACCCTAACTTTCTTCCAACCATCCCCAACACCAGTTAGCATTGCGCGTCGTGGTAATCTGTATTCAGGCATACGCAATATTTCTAAGACATCTGTGGTCAAACACTAGTAACTTACGAGTATCTTCTTCTCTTAAAGACCATGTTTCGCAGCCGTATAGTAGAACGGAACGAACTGCCGCGCAGTATACTCGACCCTTAATTGATAGACGGATATCTCGCCTGAGCCATATGTGACGGAAGTTGGCGAAAGCCAAACGAGCTCTTCGAATCCGTGCTGAGATTTCGTCAGACACCAACCTATTATGGCTGATCAGACTTCCAATAAAAGTGACGTTGTCAACGCGTTCAACTATTTACTCCCTATCCTTAGTTCAGGTGTTGACGCAGACCAGTCCTGAAGCAACAACTTGCATTTGGAAGGAGAGAAGCGCATCCCAAACATTTCGGCATTGTTGCTCAGTGCTACCAAAAGACTCTGCATTTCATCAGCGTCTTCACCAAACAGGACTATGTCATCTGCGTATTCTAAGTCAATAAGTGGACCTCCTGGTAGGAGATCAATACCTGAGAATTCAGTCGATGAGAGCGTTATTTCCATCAGTAGATCTATGATGAAGTTGAACAAAAATGGAGAAAGTGGACAGCCTTGGAGGACGCCACTTGAGGTTGCGAAAGCAGATGACAGATCGCCATAAGCTCTTACTGGACTAGTTGTGTTCGAGTAAAGAGCCTTCACAAGGTTTATGCACTTCTGAGGTACGCCTTTCAATGACAAATACTGCCACAGAACCTCTCGGTCAACAGAGTCAAACGCTGCTTTTAAGTCAAGGAAGACCACCATTGTCGGACACCGATAAATATATTTGTGTTCTAGAACCTGACGAATGGTGAATATGTAGTCGATGCAGCCACGACCAGGTCTGAAGCCAGCCTGATTTTCACGAAGGTTCGAATGCTACAGTTTTTTTAAGATCCCAGATACCACTTATTATTGAGTGCCATCTACAAGGGTATCTTAACAACTACGTCCGACCTTTTAACATATAAACATAACGCACGTGATGTTCACTGTTACTTCCAAAAGAAGTAAGGTATGTGTTGATAAATTTGCAAAGAAAAACAAATAGATCTGACCAAACAGGTCAGAGTATGTAAAATCTATCCATACCACTTCAATAACAATATAATCCATCTTGCAAACAATGAAACGAATTTCAGCAGAATGTAATCTTATTTTGACTATATATCGCAATCATCAATTACGTCTTTAAGTTTTGCTGAAGAACGTAGTCTGTTCATCATTGTAATAAAACAATATTTCTGTGGTAAAACATGTCGCTAAGTACAGGAATGCTTGAAAAATTCAACCACTGCAATCCACATAACCTCATCAAGAAAAGTCACCAATAAACATAATAAAAAGTGATATTAAAAAGAACACAATAAGCTTACACGTGGAGGTAAGTGTTTATGTGAAGATTTTCGAGTATTCGAATCTAAATCACAAGAAATTTGTCGAGATATAAGTAAATCCACTTGTTTCCCTGGTGTCAATGATCGTAACTGTGATAAAACTTGATTTAATGAACGAACTTCTTCACCATCAATAGCCAATAGACGATCACCGGCCTGAAAATGAATAAATCAATTATAAAATATTTTCGGTTTATCATCTGTTGTATGGGAGATATTTTTATTGTAATGAGATGAAACTGATTAACTTAAAGTCTTAGTGAAGTTGTAATCAGCAGAGAATAAGATAAAAACAATCATGAGATCAGTGATGTGCATCTTGTCGTGTACTGGTACTGTCAGTAGAACTTAGGACTTGTAAACTAATAAAACTTTAGACATTTTCAAAAGTTCTCCCTGGTCAAAGATAGATATCCATCCATTATCGTAGATAAACTGAGCTTGAAAACAGGATTAAAATGTGATATTGCAAAGAGTGGAAACCACCACTAAAAGTGGTTTCATTCACTTGAGAAATAAAGTTCATGTCAGTAACTTATAAAAGTTCTTTTGAGGTGTTATTTTGTTACAGAGTATCCATCTGTAACAACAGCACAAGTTATTGAATAACTAATCGATAACTAGTACAATAAACTGAGACACAACACATTTTTGTGTAAGAAAAACAAGGAGTAATGCAGCTGATTTTTAGACTAGAGAAGAATAGTATGACATTTAAGGAGGGCGTTTAACTAGGGTTTTAGTAGAGATATTAACACTAGGATGCAAGTATATCCAGCTGAAGAACTGTGCATAAAATGAAACACGTTTCCTAGACTCTATCAATAATCTTTATCCAAAATATACAATAGAATAAGTCATTATTCAATAGCTCAGTAAAAAAACTGACCAATAAACGTCCATCTTGTATAGCAGCGCCATCGGGTAAAATCTTTTTTACATACACTGGATCAGACATTTGTGAACTTTGTGTTTGTGTATCACGACTAGTCAATGTGAAACCAAGACCGGTAGTTAACATTTTTGTTAATTGAATATGCATTGTTTGACCAATAGTTCGAGTATTGAATGCATTTGGATCTTTGGTTGACTATGAAAGATAGAAAAAAAAAATGAAAAAAGACTGTATAATTAAAAAAAATTTTTACAAATCCTTTATTATTACATAATTAACTAAATGCACAGGGTTAAAGTGTTCAAAATAATGTGTTTTTCCATAAGGAGAAGGACTCATGAATTCTTCCTCTTTAGTTATTGTCTACCGTCTAAGAGAATGAAAAGGCATGCCAAAAGCGAAACCATTGCCAACAATCACATTGTATGACAGTTGTATTTTATCACAAACTGAGTTGAAATTAAACCACCATTTATTGATTCAGTCAATAAATGGCATTACGAGGTCGTTGATGATATTCATCTCACCTACAACAAACCTGAACCATAAAAGTCAATGTTTATCAATAGAATGTTGGAAATTAATTGAGATTGGAGCTATAAGATTGGATGACAACCTAATGCCTCTGATAGTTGAGGGCACGCCATGATACTTGAAAGTCGTATGTGTGTGTATTTATAGTCTTATACAAGAAGGAAACATCTGTTCACCACTTCCTTGTATTTTAATAGCAGTTTCATTGAGATCAATTTTTGACAGACTATAGCCTACAGAATACCGTTAAGCTTTTCATTGTTGGGATAGTTTATATTGGAGGGTTGACTGGTTCATTTATTTAGAACTGTAGATTATTGGACAGATGTTTCATTCTAGTTTGCGAATTCTCAAACGTAGTGTTCAATCAAGATCTTGACTAGTTGAACAAAATAAGCTAATTTCACACCTTAAACTGTACAACTATAGGTTTTGTGAAATAAAAGACAGAAGTTGAAAAGTTTGTTTTCTCTTAAAATTGGCCTTCTCTAATGATGGTATCGATAAAAAACATGCCAGATATATGGTGGATTATTCTATGGCATATTTATTATACTAACAATACTCTATTGGCTTCTTATATCAAGCATTCAGTGAACTTTATAATGTTCTCCAACAATTTATGATCATACATGTAAAAATTTGCAACAACAATGTTGAATAGAATGATGATGATGATATTTCTATAACGTTTCACCATGAAACACAAGGAAATCCAACATCAGACAGTTGTTGTACAACAAAAACATTCTCATTATACTCAGTCAGTCAGTCAGCTGCAACGTAGGACCAGGCACGTATATGCATCGGTCCAAGTTGCCATACCGCATTAGCACAACAAGATGAACACCGGATTCATAGAAGTAGTTAATTCAGTGGTGGTAATATATAGAAGAAAGATTGCATATAAGGATAAAGTACAGGAAGAAAGAATTAGTTCGTAAAAAGAAATAATTTTACTCTCATAGTTCAAGGGAAGACAGAGAGTGTATACACCGACGATATTGTGATCGATTCTGAGCCATGTCACCTAGAGTCTCCAACCATTCGTTACGATAGTCACGCGGACCCCAATCAAGTAGTCTGCATCTACCAACATGGCTCAGACCAGAAGTTAGTGACTTCAAGCACTGATGCCACGTTTTGGTTTGGTCGCACCTAACTTTCTTCCAACCATCCCCAACACCAGTTAGCATTGCGCGTCGTGGTAATCTGTGTTCAGGCATACTCAATATTTCTAAGACATCTGTGGTCAAATACTAGTAACTTACGAATATCTTCCACTCTTAAAGGCGATGTTTCGCAGCCGTATAGAAGGACGGAACGAACTGCCGCGCAGTATACTCGACCCTTAATTGATAGACGGATATCTCGCCTGAGCCATAGATGACGTAAGTTGGCTCAGTGCTACCAAAAGATTCTGTATTTCATCAGCGTCTTCACCAAACAGGACTATGTCATCTGCGTATTCTAAGTCAATAAGTGGACCTCCTGGTAGGAGATCAATACCCGAGAAGTCAGTCGATGAGAGCGTTATTTCCATCAGGATGTCTATGATAAAGTTTCTCATTATACTTGACTTAATTTAATTTTTAAATAAATGATCAATTTATTAAAATGTGAGGTTTTCAGATTTCACCCAATAAATTAAATCAAAGTTTATAAAAAACAGTTAACAACTTCACGGACTAATATCTTGTCTTGGTTTATCAGTCCTCAATTTTATGTCAGCCTACTCAAACATCAGTAGTTTGAAATATGAAGTACTTGTTTAAACTGCCCCACAACACTTAACCGACTCACCACGTTTGTTTTATGCCTTAAGATTAACCTCCACATTGTCAACTTGAATATTATTTACTATCCACGAGGAGGGTTTCAACGACATCTACGGTCAAAACCCTGAACCTTGTGAATATCCTTTTCTTCTATAGCGCAATACAAAATAGACTACTGTTCAGTTTATTCGTCTTATCGTTATCAAATGGATATCTTGTTATAAATGAAATAAGTTTTTTGTTAAAGTTAAGCAATCTTTCACAACACTTAGTCGAAATCCAAACATTCACATTTCTAACTATAGTTAATAAACGATATGATATGGTCAGTGATAATAATCATCAATTATAAAATCTGATGTGTATAAAACAATGATCATCATCATCATCATCATGAAGAGAGCACTCATACCTACATAAATACATACATTCACATATACACAAATACACGATCTTACGATCCATTTTAATTCACATGCAACAATAAGATAACAATAATAATTTTCTATATATATATATATAATATATATAGTAATATGTGTTATTGTTGTCAACAGATATAAGTAGTATGTATCACCAATTGAAAGTGGAATGCCTGGAGGCAGAAAGTTGAGAAAATTGAAGAGAACAGAACGAATAAAGTGATTGATATGGAAACGAAGAAACAACAAAGTCTGATACAATTGACGAATATATATATATATATATATATATATAAAGTTAGTATTACGCATATGGATCCAGTGAATCAATCAAGAACTCAATCATCTTTCTTATGATGATGTATTGTGTTTACTAGTGGTTAACATTGAAAAGTTCTAGTGAGAAGCCGTGATCAGTGTGTAGTTTGAATTAATGATTGAACATAAAGACAAAAATATCACAAAAAAAACAATAATGATTTCGATTTAGTCTCGTCTATAAGGTAAGATGTCAAGACAGTTCTACTGTATGGGGCGGAAACCTGGAAAACTACGAAATCCATCGTCCAAAAGATACAGGTGTTTATTAACAGTTGTCTACGCAAAATACTTCAGATCCGCTGGCCGGACACTATAAGCAACAACCTAATGTGGGAGAGAACAAATCAGATCCCAGTGGAGGAAGAAATCAGGAAAAAGCGGTGGAAGTGGATAGGACACACATTGAGGAAAACACCGAACTGCGTCACAAGACAAGCCCTCACATGGAATCCTCAAGGTCGAAGGGGGAGTGGAAGACCAAAGAATACATTACGCCGGGAAATGGAGATAGATATGAGAAAAATGAACAAGAATCGGATGGAACTAGAAAAGAAGGCCCAGGACAGAGTGGGTTGGAGAATGCTGGTCGGCGGCCTATGCTCCATTGGGAGTAACAGGCGTAAGTAAGTAAGTAAAGTAATAAGGTAAGATTGCCATAATGATGTAAGTCTAATGTAACTGACTTTAGTTTTCAAAAAAGAAAAAAAAACGTTAAACACTGCGAAACATTAGAAAGTTATTTCGTCTGGCGAGACTATAATTTTTATAGACGAACCAATCAGATCTTGTATTTTGATGTGAATTTCATTCATCTATTTGGCTAAATATCATTTTGGCATTTTAAGTTATGTCAGTTCGTGATGAAAACTTTAAACATGGTTTCTATCCCTAATCATTAACTGTAAATCATAATTCTACTTTCTCACACTGGTTTATAACCTTTATTTTAGTCCTAGTTATTAGTAAGTGAGTGAACATTCTCAGGGTCACTTTAACTTCTCTCAAAGGTCATCCATAATCTCACATAACACCTATATATACAACTTCAAAAACTAGCATCAAACTACAAACAATACAACTACTCAACAGTATTCAAAATTATATTCAATTACTATATTTTCTAGAGATTTTGATAGAGTTTGATTCTCTGCTCTCTATCGAAATCATCCACCTAAGCTACAAATCTTCTCCATCATTTCAAAACAAGTAATCTATCCGTATTTCTCATGGACATACACAACCACATAGAATTCATTAATAGATAAACAGATATACATATGTAAATATAACAAGAGGGTACTAAGGTTACAATGTTTTAGAGAAGACAAAATTGTGTTACACTTCATTATCACAATCACATGATGTATACATTTCATCATAACTATAGTGTTACAAAATAGTGTTATGCATAATTGTTACTTTTATAATAAATCTGATAAATTATTTGACAAAATGTTTCATGTTATTTTTTTTTTTGGCATGCTATGATGAATACGCAAACGCACACACACACACACACATACATACATACACATGTATGTATTTAAGTGCTCTTCCAAACAGTGTGATGTTCATGTAGAGTTTACATTGAGAAAATTTAGAAAGTATATTTGATGTAGTTACATGTTCAATTATCACTACTGAATAGAGCTGAATATAAATTTGATTTATTGTTGATTGTTAAACTATAACTAAATAATTAACAAAAATCAAAAGCTTCATTTCATCATTTCATTCTCAAGACTTTTCAATACCTGAATGTACACAATATACTAACAAGATCTAAAGAAGTAAAACAAAACACTCGTCCTAAATTCTACTCTATCCAAAAACGCCATAACAAAATCAGTGGCCTAATCATTCAAGTAGATGTAATTAGAGGATACAGTAGCAAATATAGGAAGAGGTGACCAACAACCTCCCCTGAAAGAATGTTTATATATATGTGTGTTTGAAGGGGTTTTGTGGAGATTGACGTAAATTCAATGATTAAGATCATGAGTCAGTTGAAGTACTACAATCTCCACAAAACCCCTTCTGACAATAATCAACATATGCTCACTAGTGACTGGCTTCAAGAGGTGTATCCTAGAGTTGTAGTGAGAAGTAGTGACCAGTGGAGTTCAACCAGGTCTGTTGT